GTGATAGGCATTTACCACAACGTGATAGGCATTTACCACAACGTGATAGGCATTCACCACAACGTTATAGGCATTTACCATTACATAATAGGCATTCACCACAACGTGATAGGCATTCACCACAACGTTATAGGCATTTACCATTACATAATAGGCATTCACCATAACATGATGGGCATTCACCATTACATGGTAGGCATTCACCATTACATGATAGACATTCACCATAACATGGTAGGCATTCACCATTAAATGATGGACATTCGCCATTACATGATAGACATTCACCTCTACATGATGGGCATTCACCATTACATGATGGGCATTCGGCATTACATGGTGGGCATTCACCTCTATATGATGGGCATTCACCTCTATATGATGGGCATTCACCATTACATGATGGGCATTCACCTCTATATGATGGGCATTCACCATTACATGATGGGCATTCGGCATTACATGATGGGCATTCGCCTCTACAAAATGGGCATTCACCATTACATGATGGGCATTCGCCATTACATGATGGGCATTCGCCATTACATGATGGGCATTCGCCATTACATGATGGGCATTCGCCTCTACAAAATGGGCATTCACCATTACATGATGGGCATTCACCATTACATGATGGGCATTCGGCATTACATGATGGGCATTCGCCATTACATGATAGGCATTCGCCATTACATGATAGACATTCACCTCTACAAAATGGGCATTCACCATTACATGATGGGCATTCGCCATTACATGATAGACATTCACCTCTATATGATGGTCATTCACCATTACATGATGGACATCCGCCATTACATGATAGACATTCACCTCTATATGATGGTCATTCACCATTACACGATGGGCACTCGCCATTATATGATAGACACTCACCTGTACATGATAGGCATTCGCCATTACTTGATAGGCATTCGCCATAGCATGCTAGCCATTCACCATTAAATGATGGGCATTTACTATGACATGGTAGGCATTCACCATCAAATGATAGGCATTCAACTTTATGTGATAGGCATTCACCATAAAATGGTAGGCATTCGTCATAGTATGATTGAAATTCATCATTAAATGATAGGAAAATGTATCATAGTGGTTAGCTCATTTAAATATTTCCATGATCCCACCTCCTGTATATGTTCAGCTGACCATACTGGAATATTACTGTTTTCATCATGGCATCCATGGTAAGCGTTATAACCAGGGTGAAGTTGGAATATTTGGTTGATATATTCGAAAGCGAAAATTACACCTGATCTAGTTTGCAAATTGTCTAGTCTGTGTCTGATATGGAATATCGGGGAGTTGGTAGACAGGTAGTCGTACAGACATGATGCTTTTGCAGACAGCATGTTCAACCCTTGGCATTTAAAATAACGCATTTCAACAGTAGTAGACTGTCCAGATTCTCTGACCAATATAAAAAAATGCAGTTATTGAATACATTGGAAAATATCCAACAAATTCTGCGCCTCACGGGAACAGCAAAACAAATACTGCTGAATACGTACAAACATCCGGCATCATGAAACGACGGCTCGACGACATGATTGAAGAAACAAAACCATAACGCGATATATACCAAGAAATGGCTCTTGATTGGTTAACTTGTGCCCAAGAGATTTGAAACAAGTTCAAAATACAAAGTA